ACGGGATTACAGGCTGAGCCACCGAGCCCGGCAATTTTTTTTTAAATTGTATCCTGTTTCATTTCTTTCAATAAGACTTATATGAGGCTGGGTGCCCCGTGACTCAAGCCTATAATCCCAGCACTTTGGGAGGACAAGGTGAGAGGATTGCCTGAGCCCACGGGTTCGAGACCAGCCTGGGCAGCATGGTGAGACCTTGTCTCTACAATAAATCAAAAAATTAACCAGGCATGGTAGTGCATACCTGTAGTTCCAGCTACTTGGAAGGCTGAGGCGGAAGGATCGCTGGAGCCCAGCAGGTCGAGGCTGTGGTGGCCAGGAGCGTGCCACTGCACTCCAGCCTGGGCGACCGAGTGAGACTCTAACTAAAAAAAAAAGGACATATGAAATTATTTTATTTATGTTTTTACTTATTATCTGTCTTCTTCCACTAGAATCTAAGTCTATAACACTAGTGACCTTCTCTGGCTTGTTCATTGTTATCTCCTAGTTTTGGGGACAGTGTGCCTGGTAAAATATTAGTTGAACTACTAAGCAATATAGTACAGCAGCAACTAAACAGAATATATTCCTTCATAAATCTTAGTATTGGAAAAAACCTTGACCCTTTATTGAGTCCCACCTGTACAATATAGTTTATGTAATTTGGAACAGTGGGCTTCTGATAAGATGGGAACACCGAGTCCTTACTAACGATGCATACTTCATATATGCTGGAAAAATGAATCTCAAATTATAAAGTGCAAACTAATTGCCTGAAGTTCTTGTTAAAGTGCAAACTCTGATTCAATAGTTCCGAGGCTCCACATTTCTTTTATTTCTTTGTTTTTGAGCAGCCTGTCACCCAGGCTGGAGTACAGTGGCACACTCACAACCACGGCAGACTTGACCTGCTAGGTTCAGATGATGCCCTCAGTCTTCCAAGTAGCTGGAACCACAGGTGTGCACCACCATGCCGGGCTAATTTTTTTTTTTTTCTGAGTTGGAGTCTCACTCTGTTGCCCAGGATGGAGTGCAGAGGCACACTCACGGCCACCACAACATCGATCTGCTGGACTCAGGGAATCCTTCTGTCTCAGCCCTCCAAGTAGCTGGAACCACAGACACATGTCACCATACCAAGCTAATTTTTTAATTTATTGTATAGCCAAGGTCTCACCAAGTTGCCCAGTCTGGTCTCGAACCACTGGGTTCAGGCAATCCTCTCACCTCTGCCTCCCAAAGTGCTGGGATTATAGGTGTGAGTCACTGCATCCGGCTCCACATTTCTATCAAGCTCCCAGATGATGTTGATGCAGCTGGACTGTAGCCCACACTTTGAGTAGCAAGGGTTGTGGGAACAGGAGCTCCTGAACTCTTTTGTGATCATGTCATGCTACCTCCATGTTGAAACTAGAGCCATTCTAAGGCTCCAGATATGTAGGGGAAAGAGATGTTTTGGTCTCTAACGGGGAAAGGCTAGTCCAATTACCACTGCCCTTCCTAAACAGTGCCTGAGTTCTCTCTATAAACATATCTTTACCAGAATACTTGAGTGAACAGAGAAGACTCCATCACATAGAAAAAAACCCACTGTGCCTTTGCATATCTCAAACCAATGCTTTTTCCTTATATTAAATTAATATATGTCTTCTCTCATTTTGTATGCTGAAAGCACCTCCATGCATTCAAGTCTGTTAACATTTACGGAGTACCTACTGTATATTTGCCCTGTTTTTGGAGCTGGAGATACAAAGATAAATAAAACATCTCCCTTTCCCCTAGGATCCTTGTCTAGTGAAGGTGGTGAGATGAGAAAACAGATGTTCTAGTCATGATTTAATGTGACAATTTCTATAATGGAAGCAGCCAATGCTTTGGGGGAACAGGAGCATTCTATTTCTAGAATAAAGTTGAGACTTATTTCAGTTCAATGAAATGAGTGCTCCCATCTTGTCTGACTCATTGTTTGGCTACATCAATCACTTCACATGCCGATGAGGATAGAGAGGGCGGTGGTATGCACAAGAAGAGAGAATAAGCCAGGCTCGGTGGCTCAGCCTGTAATCCCGCACCTGTGGGAGGCTGAGGAGAGTGGATTGCCTGAGCCCGTGGGTTCGAGACCCGCCTGGGCGGCAAGACCTCATCTCTACAATAAATCAAAAAACAGCCGGGCGTGGTAGCGCCCGCCTGTAATTCCGGCTACTTGGAAGTCTGAGGCGGCAGGATCGCCGGCGCCCAGCAGGTCGAGGCTGCGGTGGCTGGGAGTGGCCACTGCACTCCAGTCTGGACGACAGAGTGAGACTCCAACTCAAAAAAAAAAAAAAAAAAGAAAGAAGAGAGGACGGTTGGGGAGGCACTTCCCAGTGTGTTAAACTCTGGACACGAGCATTTCATTTCCTCACAGAAGCACTAGACTATGTGTACAGCACTATGGAAACAGAGGAGATGGTTGGCTCTGCCCAGAGGGTTAAAAAAAGACATCTTGGAGGGGAGCCTTGGTTCGATCCTGGGAGATGGCCAGATGATTGCAAGATGAACAGGAGGAAGAGTACTCCTGGCAGAGGGGTCAGTGTGAGGGACTCATGAATGAGGACATCGGTAACATACTCAGTGAACAGTTCGAGTTAACTTGTCCTATCAGGAGCAGACGAAAGGCAGGGAGACGTGCCTTCAGCTTATTAGCATGAAAGGGTGCTGGGAGTTGGGAAAGATGGCAAACTTCATGTGGTTAGAGTGAGGCTGGTAAACTTTTTCCATAACAGGCCAGATAGTATTGCGAATATTTTAGGTGTGTGGGCCATTTGGTGTCTGTGAAAACTATTCAGGCTGGGCACGGTGGTTCAAACCTGTAATCCTAGCACTTTGGGAGACAGAGGTGAGAGGATTGCCTGAGCCAGGGGTTCGTGACCAGCCTGGGTAACCTGGCAAGACCTCATCTCTACAATAATCAAAAAATTAGCCTGGCATGGTGGCGCGTGCCTATAGTACCAGCTACTTGGAAGGCTGAGGTGGAAGGATAGCCTGAGCCCAGCAGATTGAGGCTACAGTGGCCAGGAATGTGTCACTGCACTGCAGCCTGGGTGACAGATTCCAACTCAAAAAAGAAAAAAAAGAAAACTATTCAGCTGCTGCGGTGGGTAAGAGACAAATGAGCAGTGTGGTGCGTGACAATAAAACTTTATGGCCACCCAAATTTGAGTTCCATGTAATTTTCATGTGTCGTGAAATATGATTCTTTTTTATTTTTTTAAATCATTAAAAAATGTCAAAGCCGTTCTTAGTTCAAGGACACTACAAAAGCAGGCTATAGGCTGTATTTGGCCCTGAGACCATGGTTTGCCAACACCTGGGTAACAGTTATGGGATGGTAACAGTCCAGGAAGTCTGTGGAGAGCCGTGAGAAGGCTGGAGCAGACTGTGACTAAGCCGGGCTCAGTGGCTCAGCCTGCAATCCCAGCGCTTTGGGAGGCTAAGGTGAGTGGTTTGCCTGAGCCCGCAGGTTCGAGACCTGCCTGGGCAACTTGGCAAGACCTCATCTCTACAATAAAAGGAGAAATTAGCTGGGCGTGGTAGTGCACGCCTGTAGTTTCAGCTACTTGGAAGGCTGAGGCGGAAGGATCACTGGAGCCCCACAGGTCGAGGCTGCAGTAGCTGGGAGCAGTCATTGCACTCCAGCCTGGGCGACAGAGTGAGACTCCAACTCAAAAAAAAAAGAAGTTTAAAACTTATCTGGTGACCAAAAGGAAACCCCTGACGTTTTTTTAGCCCAGGGAAAACATATTCAGAGAAGGCACACGTGGACTTCTGTACCACTTAAGAAAGGGCCCTACAAACTCTAAGAAGTGGTCTACATCGAGGGAGAAGAGACTGATTTGGCTCAAGAAAATATACTATTGCAAGCACTCTTTCAAAGCAAACCGGGCGGTGGCTCATGCCTGTAATCCCAGCACTTTGGGAGGTGAAGGCAAACGGATTGTCTGAGACCAGGACTTAGAGACCAAACTGGGTGACTTGACAAGACCTTGTCTATACAATGAAAAAAAAAATTAGCTGGGCATGGTGACGCATACCTGTAGTTCCAGTTACTTGGAAGGCTTAGGTGGAAGGATCACCTGAGCTCAGTAGGTCAAGTTTGCGGTGGCCATGAGCATGCCACTGCACTCAAGTCTGGGTGACAGTGAGACTCCGACTCAGGAAAAAAAAAAAAAAGCTTTAGCAAAAACTATTTATGTACAGACTGCTCATCAAACATTTTTTTGCCTTTTCATTAAAACAAACCACACCCTCTGTTGGCACTTGATTATGTTGTTCTAAGTACTTGAAAACAACTCATAGCATTTTCTTAATTACTTTAAGAAAAATACTTTTTATTAACACAAGTTGCCTTTGCTCAGAGAGTTTAGTAATTGAGTTTTTATGCTATATGTGTTTAATTCCATTAGCGTGACTCAGAGTTAGAAGGTCCAGTGTCCTGCCTCTGGGCAGGGACGATATAATTATACTCAAAAGCGGCCTGGTAATGTTTAACAACCTGCTCTCTGAAAAAAGAAAAAAGGTATGTGCACACATATGTAAATAAGTTAATTTTAATTTTTACTGATTTAAAAGATGTGTAGCACACAATTTATGAGTACAATCCACTCTTTATTGTAAATTTCATACAGTTAATTGATTCTCATAGAATGCTTTCACTGATTTTTGATAAAAGCCAATTTGTGTCTGTAATTCAACTATTTGACAAAATAAGGCTATAAATAAATGCTTGATTACAGTCCAGCTCAGCAAAGAAGTTACTCATGTCATTGACGAGTGTAGCTCTAACATGAATATTACTTAGCATTTTTGTTTATGAGAATGAGTAAGACAAAAGTGAAACAGTAAAGATATATGCTATAGCTTCATTCATCTGTCAACGATAATGAGCAACCTCTTTGCTGAATTCTATAATAGTTTGCAAATGGCACGCACTCAGGCTCTCTCCTCCTTTACAGCTCTCTTCTCTCACTCTGCACCCGCAGCCACTATGACCACCACCATCCGCCAGGTCACCTCCTCCAGCTTCATCAAGGGATCCTCCGGCCTGGGGGGCGGCTTGTCCCGCGCTTCCTGCCGGCTGTCCAGTAACCTGGGTGCCGGTTCCTGCAGGCTGGGATCGGTCGGCGGCCTGGGCAGTGCCCTCGGAGGCAGTAGCTACTCCAGCTGCCACAGCTTTGGCTATGGCGGCGGCTTCGGGTGGAGGTGAGAAGGCCACCATGCAGAACCTCAACGACCGCCTGGCCTCCTACCTGGACAAGGTGCGTGCCATGGAGGAGGCCAACACTGAGCTGGAAGTGAAAATCAGAGACTGGTACCAGAAGCAGGCCCCGAGGCCCGCTCGCGACTATAGCCACTACTACCACACCATCGAGGACCTGAAGAGCAAGGTCCTCACAGACACTGTGGACAATGCCAACATTCTGCTGCAGATTGACAATGCCCGTCTGGCCGCGGATAACTTCTGTACCAAGTTTGAAACGGAGCAGGCCCTGCGTGTGAGTGTGGAGGCCGACATCAACGGCCTGCGCCGGGTGCTGGATGAGCTGACCCTGGCCAGAGCCGACCTGGAGATGCAGATTGAGAACTTCAAAGAGGAGCTGGCCTACCTCTGGAAAAACTACGAGGAGGAGATGACCGCCCTGCGGGGCCAGGTGGGCGGCGAGATCAACGTGGAGATGGATGCGGTGCCTGGTGTGGCCTTGAGCCGCATCCTGAATGAGATGCGCGACCAGTACGAGAAGATGGCAGAGAAGAACCGCAAGGATGCTGAGGACTGGTTCTTCAGCAAGACGGAGGAGCTGAACCGCGAGGTGGCCACTAACAGCGAGCTGGTGCAGAGCGGCAAGAGGGAGATTGCCGAGCTTCGGCGCACGGTGCAGACCTTGGAGATTGAGCTGCAGTCCCAGCTCAGCATGAAAGCATCCCTGGAGGGCAGCCTGGCGGAGACAGAGAACCACTACTGCGTGCAGCTGGCCCAGATCCAGGGGCTGATCGGCAGCGTGGAGGAGCAGCTGGCCCAGCTGCGCTGCCAGTTGGAGCAGCAGAACCAGGAGTACAGGATCCTTCTGGACGTGAAAACGCGGCCGGAGCAGGCGATCACCACTTACCGCCGTCTGCTAGAGGGCGAGGATGCCCACCTGACTCAGTACAAGCCAAAAGAACCCGTGACCACCCACCAGGTGCGTGCGCACCATTGTGGAGGAGGTCCAAGACGGCAAGGTCATCTCCTCCCGCGAGCAGGTGCACCAGACCACCCACTGAGGACGCGGCTCTCCCTGGCTAGCCCCTCAGGAGACAGGGAGGTGGCTGCCCCACCTGCCCTGCAGCCCCCGGCCTCTGCAGCCTCAGCCCCCAGCTTCAGGCCCTTCCCCGCACTCCCCTGCCTGACCCCAATAAAGCTTGTTGACTCAGAAAAAAAAAAAATAGTTTGCAAATATTGGAAGGATATTTCTTCAGACATTCTCACTATTCATAATGTAATGGCTATAGACATGAAACACCTTTAAGTTTACTCTGAATTATTGACATTTTCTCAATAACTTTATCAAGTTAGATGATCAACAAAAACAATAAATCAGATCTTGATTTTTAGCACTTGCCTATTTCCCTGGCACAAATACTCCACTGTGGACAATTTCAAGCTACCAGAATACAGAGTTGGGAAGAGATGTTCACTAGCACACCACTATATAATATTTCTATCATAGGGACACAATTAACAATTTGCAAAATTTCTGAAATTTTGAGAATCACTTTTCTGGAGTAAGCATGAACCAACTCCAGCACATTACTAACTAAACCTCATTTACTTAGAACTGGCTCTTACAGAAACGACTTTGTTAAAACGACGACAAAAATGAATAGACCTCAAGGATCTTTCTGTAAAGTTAGTGATGAAGAAATCTGTTACCTAAATCTCTTAGCAAAATGACCATGTTCTAAAAAATTACCTCTAGAGTCATCTAAAACACGCTCACTCTCAAAATTGTAGGACCAACAAATGATTAGAATCTCAGCAGTAATATGGCCCTTGTGGCATTTTCTTTCTTGTGTCCAAACCAACATAAAACATGGAAAATGGAATCATGAACATAAGGGCAGATAGGTACCTTAGATATTAGCTAGTCTAAGCTCTTCTCATTTTATGGATGAGTTAGCTGAAGTCCAGGGAGGTTAACTTACTTATCACAGAGAAGCACTGTTATCACCAAAACCCAAGTTTTTATTTGTAAAATAGTCTGAGTGCTAGTTTTCCCCTCAAGTACTAAGGTGAGATAACTGTGGAAAATGTATTCAACTTTCTCTCACTTTGGGGATAAATGGGTTCCTTCAGCACCACTATTTTGGGGAAAGTATTGTTAAACTGTGAAAAAGAAACTTTCAGTTATGCTTACATGTTGATATCACTAGGATTTTGTTTTGTTTTGTTTCTGTTTTATCACACTATTTATCATAGTTCTTTTAAAGCACAGATTTGTCCATTCCAAGAGTTATTATTTACAAAACTAATAACAAGTGAGCTGGACAAGTCTTGTGTAAACCAGCCAACCCTCAATCAAATTTCAGAGTTAAGAACATATTTTACACCTTGATCTAAATCTCAGTTTCTTGTGAACTACTGGAGGCAGAAAATTCCTTTAGAAAATGGGCTGATGGCCAATCTCAGGGGACTGCTGAAAATTTCATTTTTGAGAGTTTCTTTCTTCTCTGGACATGATAAGTCTTCAACACCAAGATTTATTTTTATTTATTTATTTATTTATTTTCTCCTTTCTGTCTGTCTTTTCATTTAATAGCTCACACCTATAATCCCAGCACTTTGGAAGGCCAAGGTGACAGGATTGCCTGAGCCCACAGGTTCAAGACCAGCCTGGGCAACTTGGTGAGACCTCCTCTCTACCATAAATCAAAAAATTAGCCGGGCATGGTGGCACATGCCCATAGTTCCAGTTTCTTGGAAGGCTGAGGCAGGAGGATTGCCTGAGCACAGCAGGTCAAGGCTGCAGTGGCCGTGAGCATGCCACTATACTCCAGCCTGAGCGACAGAGTGAAACACCAACTAAAAAAAAAAAAAAAATTTAGACCTATAATCTCTTATCTGAGAACCCTAGGGTCAGATATATGTGGACTCAAAATTTTTCAGATTTCACAAAGGTTATACAAAACATACAGAATATATTCTGAATCACCTCTCACGGTTTTGGGGCAGTGTTCCATAATCAAGCACATTTATATTCTGCAGCAAAGCATAAATATTCACATGAAGTAGGATAAACAAGACTATACATAGCCTAACCAGGTGCAGTGGCTCATATCTGTAATCTCAGCACTTTGGGAAATGGAAGTGAGAGGATTGCCTGAGCCCAGGGGTTGGAGACCAGCCTGAGCAACATGGGGAGACTTCATCTCTATAATCAATCAAAAAATCAGCTGAGTGTGGTGGCATATGCCTGTGGTTCCAGCTACTTGGAAAGCTGAGGCGGAAAAATCACCTGAGTCCAGCAGGTCGAGGATGTGGTAGCCATGAATGTGCCACTGCACTTCAGCCTGGGCAACAGAGTGAGATTCCAACTTAAAAAAAAAAAAAAGACTATACATAACCTCATGTCAGTTCATTTCAGGGCAATTTTAGCCACTAAGAGTTATTTTAAAAACGAGATTTTCAGGACTTTTCAAATTTAACAATTCTGGTAAGGGAGTATAGACCTATAATGACATTATCAGTATGCTCTTCTCTTGATGCATTTAAAAAAAGTGTGCGTGTATAATGTGTTTTTGATCCATGTTCAACTTTATTTTTATTGTTATTTATTGGAAGCTACTCATTCTTGTTGCATTAACCTAAGAGAGGCATTAGTTGTGTTCTGCTCTGATCTGAATTCTTAGCTTTTGCAATGGGCAAGATAGATTTCTAAGGGATGATGGAGGGACAAATTGCTTTTGCAAACATTCTCTGATGTTCTCTTTAGGCCATGAATGGAATTGGTAACTACTTGTCTGTTTTCCACCAGCCTTCTTATCTACTTGTACAATGCAATGCAGCTGTGCAATTTTAATTTTTGAGGCTACTAAAGGTTCCTGTACCTGCAAAATTATCTTAAACTACAAGAAACAATAATAGGAGCTGTATATAAAAAAAAGAACAGAGAAGAATGCCAAGTTTAACTTTGTCCTAGAAGAAGAAGAAATCTTGACTAGCCTGGTTAATGTTGTACTGGACCCCAAGGAAAAACACTACCTTTTCTCCTTAGGTCCTTCATAGCCTGACAGAGACAAGCCCTCTAAAAATCAAGACTTGAAAAGTTGTCTAGGATATTCTCCAATGTCAAAGGACAAAAAGACTGTAGCTGGAAAACTAGGTAGGATGGAACAGAATCTGCCTGCTGTAGAAGAAGATATATTAATATAAATAACATACACAGAACTTGAATTGTAGAAGCCTGGGAATAGAGGAAATCCCCAAAGGGAATTACCCAAAGGGAAGAAACTCAGATACATTCGGTTTTTGACTGTAATTTGTTGCCTAGTGCAATGATAAAAGTTACTCACTAATACAGCTATTTTAGAAAGTTAAATTTCACATGTAGTGCTACTAAAATACCAAAGCCCATACATAATGTCTGACCCAAGCTGCCACCGCATATAGCAAACTCTTACATGGGAGCTTAAAAAAGATTGTTTGACTGGTCCACTGTCCTGCAGTGTCAGGAGACTGCTTTGTCTGACATATTGAATTTCCAATGTCTCTCACACTTCCTCCTTTTTAGATGCACAAAAGGTTTTTGTAAAGTTTCTCTTGGTTTTACTGCTGGCAGCTACAGAAACCATGCCACATGCCTGGTGTACAGTTATAGGGTGTAATTTTATTTGACGAGTGTCTTCAGAGCGTCTAGATTTTTAAATATAACTATGAGAATTTTCTTAAAAGCTGTAAATGAAAATCTGTAACAATTCAAAATCTTTTATTTTTATTTTTTTATTTTTTTTTGAGTCAGAGTCTCACTCTGTCGCCCAAGCTAGAGTGCAGTGGCACAGATCACTGACAACACAGCCTCAACATGCTGGGCTCAGGCAATCTTTCCGCCTCAGGCTCTGGAGTAGGCGGGACTACAGGTGTGCACTACCACACCTGGTTAATTTTTTACTTTATTGTAGAGACCGGCCCTCGAACCCCTGGGCTCAGGCAATCCTCTCGCCTCTGCCTCCCAAAGTGCTGGGATTACAGGCGTGAGCCACCGTGCCTGTCCAATTCAAACTCTTGACTGGCCCAGTTATGTCTGAGATTGGCTGGTGGTGGTTGCACGGTCTCCTCTGTCTTATATATTCCTTCGGTTCCTTTCTCTTCCTACAGGAATTCTTTAGTGTGTTGGACAACCTTCCCAGGTCCTGACTTAGTAACCCAAAACTAAGCGAGGACACCTATGATTGCACAAGCCAATGAAACACGACGGGGGCATTTTCTGGGCGCCTGGAACCACCCTGAAGCGCTCCGACTTTCGATTCAAGAGACATGGGTTTGACTCCTCGTTTGGCTAATTGCCTTCTTCTATATGAAATAAATGCCCATCTCTTTGTCTTCCTTCGGAGGTTATTTTTTGGTTTTGTGTTTTTTGCAGTGGAGTCTCACTCTGTCGCCCAGGCTGGAGTGCAGTGGCCGCTCCCGGCCACCGCAGCC